AACAGAAAAGGTTAGGTTTGGGAGAGTTGCTGTTGTACTCTGATCATGAAGGAGAAAATACTTTCCACACAAAAGGAGTTACAATGATGTTGCCTAAAGGGGAACGAAAGGCACTTGTAGGATGGGGATCTCATGGATCCAGAATCATCAAAGTATCCCTCAAAACAAAGAGTGAGGGAATCACAATGAGTGTTATTCAGTGTCATGAGCTCACCAATGATAACAATGAGGAGAATAAATATCAGTTTTATGGGAGGCCGCAGTCGATCGTAGAGAAGTGGTGGACCTGAACATCCTGATGAGAAGCCTGAGCTCAAAAGTTGTAATGGACAACATCGGGTATTGAGATGTCATGAGAAAATATGGACTGGTAGAAATAAAAGAGAATGGTGAGAGATTTGCAACTCTGTGTGTATCGAACAAAATGGTTATAGGCGGACCTTTATTCCTCACAAACGTACGATTATAGAAAAATGGATTTCACTGGACAACACTACAGAGAACCAGATCAATCTCATTTGCATCACTAAAAAATTCAGAAGGTCACTGGAAGATGTGAAAACCAGGGGAGGAGCTTCAGATCACTACCTGGTCGTTGCTATATAAAACTGATGCTTAAGAAGCATTGCACCTATTAGGTCTTTTCTCGACCATCAGTTGCACGTCGCAACCCGACTTTCATAAAGCGTGTCAACTAAAACCATCCACATTCATATCTTATAAAATATCAACCCAGCTGGGTAGTTTACTACAGCGAAAATTGTATCATTTGTGACAGTCTGATCTTGCCTGTAAACTGGCATGCCTCGTGTAACAAACTGTCATTTGAGAGTAAATAATAATAATTACTATTGTCCTACCGCAAAATTCGGAATTCGAGAAATTCTGCTTTATCTGTCCCATTAGCTTTTTCCAATAGTTGGTTCCCAATTGTACGATCTTTGATGTTGAGTATGATTACTAAGAAGATTTACGTTCGACATGTATCACAAACAGTAGGTAGACTATGGTGAACTCTGGAGAAAAGAAAGGAAGTCGAGTAGCTGGGTCATGCACGCATGGTCACTTAACCTCTTCCTTTTTGCATCAAGCATATTACACTCTTTCCAGATCAACTGTGTTCTTCAGAAATGCTAGAGATGTGCAATATAGTGCTTGTAGTGAAGTAATATTCATACATATCACAAACGTAAAAGAGCTTGAAATGGCAAAATAAGGGACAATGGCGTTACTGACCAGCAAACCTGACGACGGGGAGATAACTTCAGTCTACCCATATTTGTAGGGCAGGGCATTTTTTCACACTTACAGCTCCTTATGTTCTAGCGAGGTACCTACTTCACTCATGTTTGCAACCTTAAAGTGCTTCCGTTTATTACCGAGAAGTCCTATTGCAAGTAAAGCTGGATGATTCACTAAAATTAAGCATACTCATGACCCTAAAAAATCCTCAATGATAAAGAACAAGTTGAAATATATTTGATGAAACATGGAGAGAGTCATTTGTTTTGAATATCACATTCTTCAACTATACATAATCCTAATCTTTCAGCTTCTTCTTAAACCACCTCCATTTATACAGTTCTTGCCATACTTACGCTTGTTTTTTAACCTATTGGACTGCTCCTACTAAAAAGCACCTTAATGTAAGAGGATTAGACTGTGTAGTCATACCTCGACTATCCCACTATAAATGACTCAACATCAATTGTCACGAACACAGTCTGCCCCGCTCCTCCTCCCTTCTCTTTTTACCCTCCTTTTTAGCCCCCTCAAGATATGCCACCGAAAACACATGAAACGGATGGCATTGTCATGAGTCATCATTGATGCTTCAGATGTTTCAGAGGGATATAAGGTTGAGGTTTCTGGAAGCTCTCAATTTTACTTGAGTTTATTTTCGACTGTCAGTTGCACGTTGCGACGCAAAATTCATCAACTCTCAGATTGACAACACTAATAATATTTACACTCACATGTGAGAAGTGATATCTCCCTAATTCTATGACCAAGGTGCCTTACAAAGTATCAACCTAACTGAGTAACTTACTACAATGAAGCCCGTATCATTTGTAACAATATGGTTTTTCCTGTACCATAATGTTATTTGAGAATTAATTACTATACTCATTTTGATTACTCAACCGTGCTGCTGTCAACGTTCAGCTATTCACTGCCTCGCGGTTAGGCTATTCCGATATTTTGGTACCCTCAGAGAGAAGCGAAAATGTTACCAGAAGTGTCTACCTGGGTTAATCGAACAAAACGAAGTACCAGACAGAAGATTATTGGGTTACCGGATGCACTAAAATCATGTCGTTGGTTAGACAATTATCAGTATAGAGTTGTGGAGATTATTAAGTTAGTGATTGAGATCTTGAACCGATTGATGTTAAACCACCATTGGAATCCTGGAAGAATTGAACGGCCGTTTCATCCTACTGTGGGACTCCTCGTCAGTGCGCATCCACGATCCCGCTCGCGGGGTTTGAATCCAGGGCCTTCAGTCTCGCTCGCGGACGTTTGATCTACTTAACCACCGAGACAGCATCCAATGGTGTTAATGTCTAACCTCAGCCAATCCACGGAGTTGCACGACCATCTTCCATTGTACCGAGGTAGACACTTGTCCCTATCCAACACGGAATAACTCCACCGGTCATGGCTTCTCACTAGAACCCCGAGAATTCTCTCACGAAATTAGTCACCAGTGAGCACATGGCCCTGGGTTCGAATCCCGCGAGCATGATCGTGCATGAGCATTGCTGAGGGGTCCCACGGTAGAACAAAACGGCCGTCTAATGCTTCCAGGTTAGACAGAAGTCATCAGATGTCATTGGTGACTCTTTGTTGATCAATCAAAGTCCAGTGATTAGTCCCCTCGGGTAAGATGACTCTCGCCTCCACAAATAACCTGACAACTAATTAGCGTTATTTCCCTACGATACTTACCGTCACGTTGCTGTTGAACCTTCTGGTACTAGTGAAGTAGAGTGACCGAATCGCCATCTCTGGATGTTTTCAAAGACCTAGAACACCTAGACGCCAACAGAGAGTAATAAGCTGATCCAAACTAGAACATTACAGACGTTTAATTGAATTCCACAGGAAGTAAGGGAGATACGTTTAGGTGTTTCCCCGTAATCACTTCCGTCATTAATAACTAGCTAACGTGTTCTACCGCTCACTCTTTAAAGAAACATAACAAAAACTAAACGTCTCCATAATCAAGGTTCAGAGACCAGCAAATAAGCTGATCCCCGGAATAACGAGGCTCCCGTATGACGCTCGACTGGCCAAGCAAAATCTATCCCTGTTGTCATATCAAGGAAATAGATGCGACTTGATTACTTACTTACGTACTAACTTACTCCTGTTACTCCCAATGGAACATAGGTCGCTGACCAACATTCTCCATCCCATTCTGTCCTGGAACTTCTTTACTAGTTCTACCCAATTTTCGCCCATTCCTCTCATGTCTATCTCCATTTCTCAGAGTAATGTGTTCTTTGTCTTCCTCTTTTCTTTTGGCTTAAGGATTCCAAGTGAGGACTTGCCCTGTGTCGCAGTTCGATGATTTCCCCAATGTGTGTCCTATGTACTTACAGCGATTCTTGCTCATTTCTTCCTCCACTGGAATCTGGTTTGTTCTCTCCCATAGTAGGTTGTCGCTGATAGTGTCTGGCCAACGGATCCGAAGTATTTTGCGTAGACAACTGTTAATAAACACCTGTATCTTCTGGATGATGGCTTTCGTAGTTCTTCAGGTTTCTGCCCCATACAACAGAACTCTTTTGACATTTGTATTGAAAGTACTGAATTTGGTGTTGGTTGCCAATTGTTTTGAGTTCCAGATGTTCTTTAGTTGTAAATATGCTGCTCTTGCTTTGCCAATCTGTGCCTTCACATCTGCATCAGATCCATCGAGTTCATCGATGATGCTGCCCAGATATGTAAAGGTTTTTACATCTTCCAAATCTTCTCCGTCAATTGTGATTCGATTGTTACTTTCCTCTGTGTATATTGAGATCTACTTCTGCTGAGGTTGTTTATATACTGGTCATCTTCTGCATTTGTTGTGTGTGTGATAGAAGAGCCAGATCATTTACGAAGTCTAGATCGTCCAGCTGCATTCTAGCTGTCCACTGTATCTTATGCTTCCACTCAGATTTTGACGTCTTCACGATCCAGTCAAACACCATGAGAAAGAGAAAGGGTGAGAGTAAGCAGCCTTGCATGACACCGGACTTTACCTCGAACGCATCTATCAACTGTCCTCCATGCACGGTTTTGCATTTTAATCCATCATAGAAATTTCGTATGATATTGACTATCTTCTCAGGTACTCCGTAGTGTCGAATAAGCTGCCATAGTGTTTTCCTGTTCGCTCTGTCAAATGCTTTGTTGTCGTCAATGAAGTTGATGTAGAGTGATGAATTCCATTCAACTGATTGTTCCACAATGATTCGTAGTGTTGCGATTTTGTCTGTACACGATCTATTCTTACGGAATCCATTCTGTTGGTCTCGGCGACTTGATGACAGTTTTCAAATTTCTTCGTGATAAATTTGCAACGGGTCTGTCCCCATTTCTCTGTCGTCCAAAACAGAGAATTCACAAGGGCACTCCGAAAACGTTCACAAACCCAGAACAAATTACTTGTCATCTGACAACCGACTTTCCCATCGAATCATCGACGAGCATAATTCATTACCTCAGCATGTAGCTGAGGATCCATCCGTCGGCTCTTTCAAAAAAAAGTTGGATCAACTGAGAGACCATCATTACCAGGACTAACACAGGTCATCAAACCTCCTGTCCTTTCCAAACTGAAAATGAAATGTTGGAATTCGTTGCCGGCTGAGCTAGTCCAAGCGACTTCCCGAGGGTTCCTTCAAGAGAAACTTGAAATATTCTTATGGACGAAGGACATATCTCACTATAATTTATCAATTATTTTTTCTCTTTTATAGTTAATATACGTAGGCTCTTACCTGTCGCGCGGGATAAGTGATCCACTGCTACTAGATACGGAGGCCTGTTAAGCAAAAGCCTTTTGTATTCCATTCAGAACCATTTGAGCCATTTAAAATATTTGAAACAGTGCGCCGATTGTGCCAAGCTAAGTTTGATGTTTGAATTTCAAGTTATCGGATATTGGGACTAACTTAACTAGTGTGCTACAGCAGATTAGTCATGACTGTTGCTGTTCCGGGCGAGAGTGCTAGAGAGAAAGCACTAAGTTACTACAGACGTAAACTTGTGGAACATAGAGGAATAGATGCAAGGCTCAAGGAAGGTAATAATCACACCCCGTTATTACTCATAAACTAGCTCGAGAAAAATCCAAAGCGATTTCAAAAGAGTACGACAAAGCAGAGAATGATTTGAAAGCACTTCAAAGTGTTGGCCAGGTATTTTATTTTGTTTTCTATTTAATCCGTATTTGAAGATAGTAGGTGATGTTTTGAAGCAGCTGACTGATGATCACTGTAAGTCGCTTTCTGTTCTATATAGCTGCTAAACTCAATCTCCCTATTCTGGGGGGATTTTGTGAAAGCCGCTGTAAAAGGTTTTTGGGGAAGTGGCACAAACCCCCCAAAATTTCGGGGGAAATCGTCATTAAGCTTTGGAGAAAACTTCGAAGATTCCCCGAAACCGGGAGGTTGGGAAATCATTTTCATGTTTCGTTTGTCATTTCGATTCAGGCTGTTTTCTATAACAATTCATTTCTAAATGTTGAAAGATAATGTGGCTAGTCGTAATATGTATTTTTGTATTATCATAGTCGAGTTCGGTTTTGGACATGACAGTGCTTCCAAACTGTCTGTTAGAAATGTGCTCAAAGTACGTTTGAAGCTCAATGGATAAATGCATCAGGGTAAACAATGTTACATAACCACCTCTTCATTTTCACAAATCAGCAATATGACTAAAGGAGTGTGTGCACACCATTATTCTCCGTTGCTAACTGTGAAAGCAGTCGTAGAACATTGCGATGGTATGGTCATGTCACCTAGGGAAGTACCCCAGCCGTCAGCATATGGGTGATATTGTCTTGCTGTAGAGTAACGTTATCCAAGCAATAGCTAGCAGTCGACAATCGTCATTTATTAGTATGCTACGTAATCAACATTGAAAAAGTCGACAGCATGTGGTTGAAGTCATCATCAATAATGAGTTCCAAAAAGATTCCGTAATTTCGAATATTTATATGAACACCTGTACGAGCATCTCTGCATCGAACTTATCGAACACAATCTTCCATAACTAAGAGTTTGCTGTCCCTGCATCAGATGATTGTTATCTGCCAAATATTGGTTCCACTGCTATGTAAGTAATTGTAAGATTCCGAATTTACAGGATTTACTATCTTTTAACACCATTTCCCCTGAACTTGGGACCCTTTTTTACACATTCCTATAGTGGGTTGCGTTCCATAAACTATTCTTCGACTGGGTGAAAGAAACGGAATGTCGGTTTGTAACGTCTGGGGTTTTAGTGAAGGATAGTCCTGATAGATTTACATTTGAAGGTACATGTTACCTTAAATAGACTCATGAATACTGTAGAACCCTGACCATAGCCCAAAATGGAAGTTACCGGTGGCCTTACCTACACTTTCTGTTTTGTTCTTTTGGAAGGTGAGACATACCATGGTTATGTTCTCAGGTGGCTTGTGTCCTTTAATATTCGTTGCTTTTGCTTGTACTATATGGTTGTGTGTTTTATGTTTTATGATGCTTTTATTACCACAGTGCTTTATATGAGAATCAACTTTAATGCTCTGTGGCACCTAACATGTGTTACTCGTGGATTAATTATTAGAGCCAATGATAACTGTCTACTAAATTTCTAAGCTTCGATATGGATTACTTCAATTCATCACAATGGCCATCAGGTTAGGTAAATGACTATATTCTTTATCAAAAAGAAACTGTTAGCATAAGGCGGATAACTCTTAATAGTCTACTTCTTTCCTAAGTATGTGCTCATGTTTTCTACAAAAATAATGAAAACCTCATGATTAAGTATTTCAACTAAAACAACTCAACACCTTCGGAATACTTGAAAACCAGGATCATCAAAACTTGGTCTGGAATAGCGTTCTGTTCGAATATTTATGGGATCCAAAATTTTAAAAGCGCCAATATACGATTTTTAGTGTAATTTCAGTAGATCGAAATTGATATTTCATGGGTTCGAATAATAAGTGACAATTGTAAAACAAATGAGATTTTCAAGACTACTTGTGATCATATCGTTACCAAGAGCAGAGAAAAATGTGAAGGGCTCATAAATAGAGCTACATTCGCGCTTTTAGAAGTACGCGAAACTAACTCATTATTATCACATCCCACCAGTTGCATTGTACAGCATGACCACTTATATGGTGTCTCAATGCTACTTGTTTTCTATTATGATAGTAACCGGTTTTCTTGGTTTACAAACTAACCAACATAATTCTACTAATCCTTTTGAAAAAATCAATTAATATTTCTATTGTTGCTTGCACGTGTAAGTTGATTTCTTCTCATATAGGGAACTGGTCTACGTCTATCGGTTCTATCAGATGTAAGTACTGCCAAATTTAGTCGATTTGGCAAATGTAAATCTCAGCCCATCATAGTTTTTTAGAGTTAAAAACTAGTCTCGAACAGATTTAAAAAGTTCAATGCAACCTTTTGAAAATTCAGGCACTGTGTTACGCACTAGTTTTATCTAGAAGCCTGATAACTCAGTTTTCATTGGACGATATGGGATTCACATCGATAACCTTGTTACATGTCGGAGGCGTAAATCATTATCACAATGGAGTAGTAAGTGTACATTGATAGTTTACTTCATAGCACTCAATTGTTCCACTAAACATGCCATTTTCGATGTTGTCGGATACATTCTATTGATAAAGATTTATCTTTGTTTCCTAGTCATTGTTAAGGCTAGTAATGGACCGCGATATGTTGTTGGCTGTCGACGCAGTTTACAAAGCAGTAAATTAAAACCGGGCACTAGAGTTGCATTGGACATGACCACATTGACAATTATGCGCCAATTACCACGTGAAGTGGATCCACTAGTTCATAACATGTCTGCAGAAGACCCAGGTTCTGTATCTTATGCTTCTGTTGGTGGCCTGGCTGATCAAATTCGTGAACTCAGAGAAGTAATTGAACTCCCGCTTATGAATCCAGAATTGTTCCATAGAGTTGGTATAACCCCTCCAAAAGGATGCCTTCTTTATGGTCCACCGGGGACTGGTAAAACTCTTCTAGCACGTGCTGTAGCATCACAACTTGATGTCAACTTTTTAAAGGTATTTTGGATTCTCTACTGTTGTTTTGCACAGTGCACCATGATTAATACAAGTTATGTCACTACAACCAATTCGAACTGTGAGCAGATGGAGTTAACTGAATCTGTTATTACTATTCATAATAATTTATTTTAAGCTACAGAACAAAATCACTTCACTGTAATTAAAGTTGAGTCAATGAGTATCAGTCAGCTACAACGTAGGACCAGGCACATATAAGCATCGGTCCAAGTTGCCATACCCCATTAACACAGCAAGATGAACACCAGATTCATAGAAGTAGTTAACTCAATGGTGTAATATATAAAAGAAAGATTGCATATAAGGATATGGTACAGAAAGAAAGAAATAGTTCGTAGAAAGATATGAAGCGATTTTAATCTCTTAGTTTGAGGGAAGACAAAGAGTGTGTACACCGAAGCCATTGTGATCGATTCTGAGCCATGTCATCAGGGGTCTCCAACCATTGGTTACGATAGTCACGCGGACCCCAACCAACATGGCTCAGACCAGGAGCTAGTGACTACAAGCACTAATACCACGTTTTGGTTTGGCCGCCCCTAACTTTCTTCCAACCGTCCCCAACACAATTCAGCACTGCGCATCGTGGTAATCAGTGTTCAGGCATACGCAACACGTGGCCCAACCATCTCAGTCTGTGAAGATTCACAACCTTATCAACTAATTTACCATCATTCCCTAATACCATACGTCTAACCTCAATTTTACTTACCCAGTGATCCCAGCAGATGCGAGCAATATTTCTAAGACATCTGTGGTCAAGCACTAGTAACTTACGAGTATCTTCTACTCTTAATGACTACGTTTCGCAGTTGTAAAGTAGAACAGAACGAACTGCCTCGCAGTATACTCGTCCCCTATTTGATAAACGGATATCTCGCCTTCGCCAATGGTAAAAGCCAAATGGGATTTTCGAATCCGTGCTGGGGTGTCGTCGGACCAACCCATTAGGGCTGATCAGACTTCCAAGATAAGTGAAGTTGTCGACGCGTTCGACTATTTCACTCCCTATCCTTAGTTCAGGTGTTGACGCAGGCCAATCCTGAATCAACAACTTGCATTTAGAGAGGGAGAAGCACATCCCAAACCTTCTGGCATTGTTGCTCAGTCACTGAGTATTGATGACTCAGAACGTTTTTGATATTAAAAAAGTTGCATAAAGTCATGATTACAGAAACAATGGTTTTAATGTAGTTCGACTTCTAGGTTATCTAGTAACACCAACAATTATGTTGATATAATACAAATGTTAGCCCATGTAATTATATTCTGTAGGTAGCGACATTTTATTTCGTCTAGAATTGTGATAACCTAATTATAAACTGATCAGCCGGTCTTAATCAGCATCGGACCTAGCACAAGTCTTTTTCAGCCCACTTTATCACACAGCACAGCGAGATAAGATGGGAAAAGTAAATACGGAGGCATTATAAGTATCAGTGATGGCGATTAAGATGAGACAGAATATGATTTGAGAAGAATTGAATTCCCGGAATAAAAGACACAAAACAATTTTTAAACTTAGGATCTGATGTTAGATAAGGTGTGAATGCTTATATTCTCATCATTGCGTTCGAGTTTGATCAAGCTGTTCAATGTCTCCAACTATTGGTATCTATAATCATAAGGAATCCAACCATTTAGTTTCCATCACCAATTTTATGCATGAGTGTCGTATTTTACGTTGGCCGCTCTTAGTTTCTGTCGAACTGACTACGGTAGCCGAAATTTCGCACCGGCAGTAATTAATTAGTTAGCCATCTTTATCTATATTTGATATCGACATGATTGTATTATACAACCACAGATGCACACATTCATCTTTCATTCAATTCTAAAAATAGCACTACCCCCAGTTTAGTACGTTTCTTTTAGTTTCTCACCAATGTTTACTCCCTTGTTATCCTCTCGTTAGTTTAGAGTATGATGTACACTTGTTATAAATTATCTATTTGTAAGTGTAAATAAGCTCAAAATCTAACTCAAAGAATCTCTGGTAATAGTTTAGCATTATAAAACATACAGGACGTATTATGATTTTGTGCGACATATATTTAAGGGTAGCCTTTTTTGCATTGAGCTGTTAAATTTTGAAGAGTGGCCAATTTATACAAGTAAGAATTTCGCCCCCAAATGCCCTGGTACGGCCAAGAGTGGGAAAAGTCAACTCTCCCTCTCGAAATGCTCTCACATGGCCATTTTCATGCAACCGCTGCCAGGGAGGTCCTACTCACGGCGGTGGTGTTGTTTACGAAATCGAGAGGACGAAAAGCGAATGTCCGGCGCTTTAACCGGGTTAGTGGATATGGAGGATCCATCTAGGGGAATTAGAAAACCCTAATTCCAAACCAATGATGCACATGGGCTCCAGAATCCTGATGAAACAAATGGCGTACGAACGTATTGTTGGTCACCGGCTACCATGTTGCTGCATCTCCTTACGTCGCTCCACTGCCGGTTAATAGCCACACTTTTCCTACTATATCCAAATTTTTCGACTAAAGCTGCAATAAAGCTTCGTTTTTCCAATAGCTCATAGCTTAGATCAAAAGCTATCAATAGGACCGTGCGCTTTTCTGTTGTCATTGTGTTTTTGTGTAGTCCAGCTAGTACACAAGATTTCCAACACAGTAGATTCACAAGTATTCTAACACAAACTTCATTTTTAAAATTAAATCGTACACAGGTTGTATCCAGTGGTATTGTTGATAAGTATATTGGTGAATCAGCTCGTCTTATTCGAGAAATGTTCAATTATGCACGAGATCATCAACCCTGTATTATTTTTATGGATGAAATTGATGCAATTGGCGGTCGTCGTTTCACTGAAGGTACAAGTGCTGATCGTGAAATTCAACGTACATTAATGGAATTATTAAATCAGATGGATGGTTTTGATGCACTTGGTCAGGTAACTATTGATATTTCCTGTTTTTCAAAAGCTGTTCATCTTTAATTTATTTTCTAAAGTAGATATTACAAGGCTACTTTTCATCAGTTCAAGTTCAAATCGTTGTAGTCATTGATAAATATGTATTGTTCTTAAGGGTGGGTTAAATGTTATTATTTCCTAGAGTTAGTGTTCTTAATTGAATTCTTCATGAATTACCGTAAGTCTTGGACGATGGGCAGAATTTTTCGAAGGGCAGTTCAACTGGCATGCTGCTCCGGCAACATCGGTCAGACTGTCCTGCTCTCCATGGCCGGTGACGACTGATCCACCAAATGAGGCGGAAGTCCGCAAGGAACTCCAACTCTTGAAACGTTACAAATCACCGGGCCCAGACGACTTACCTTCGGCTCTTTTTAAAGATGGTGGTGACTTTCTGACTAAGGGACGGACGACGTTGTTTACAAAGGTCTGGGAACTAGAGAGTGTACCAACGTCATGGAATGAGTCGATAGTTGTCCCTATCTTTAAAAAGGGTTCACGTCGTTCCTGTAACAACTATCGGGGGATAAGTCTACTTCCGGTTGCGTCCAAGCTATTGGCTTCCGTTATACTTCGTAGATTGTTCAAAACCCGAGAAAGATTGACTCGCGAGGAGCAGGCTGGGTTTCGTTTCGGTCGAGGATGTATTGATCATATCTTCACCCTCCGCCAAGTGTTAAAACACCGTCATACTTATCAAAGGCCAACAATCGTAGTGTTTCTTGATATCAGGGCTGCCTTCGATTCGTTGGACAGAACTGTTCTCTGGGATTGTCTATTGAAGAAGGGTGTGCCTGAGAAGTTTATTAACATCCTAAAAGCCCTATACACAAACACCTCAGGCAGAGTGAGGGCATACAACCACCTTTCTCCACTATTCCATTCGAGCAGTGGGGTTAGGCAGGGTTGCCCAATCTCACCATTCCTCTTCAACTTTGCCATCGATGGCATTCTGGAAACAGCTCTGATGGATGTAAGTAATGGTGGTATGGATCTGTTGCCTGGAGAAAGACTTCTCGACCTTGAGTATGCGGATGATATTGTCTTACTGTGCGAGAATGCCCAAGCCATGCAATCCGCACTTAATCAGTTGGCAATCAGTGTCCGTAGGTATGGTATGTGCTTTGCACCCTCGAAGTGCAAAGTTCTTCTACAAGACTGGCAGGATTCTAATCCTGTACTCACTCTGGATGGTGAGCAGATAGAAGTAGTCGAGAAGTTCGTGTATCTGGGTAGCTGCATAAGTGCTGGTGGTGGCGTGAGTGATCAGATCAGTGAACGTATAGTGAAAGCCAGAGTGGCTTATGCCAATCTGGGCCATCTTTGGCGCCTTCGTGATGTTAGTCTGGCTGTAAAAGGTCGGATCTACAACGCGTCGGTGAGAGCAGTTTTGCTCTATGCTTGTGAAACCTGGCCTCTCCGAGTTGAGGATGTTAGACGACTCTCTGTGTTCGATCATCGCTGTCTCCGAAGGATTGCTGACATCCAGTGGCAACACCATGTTATTAATGCAGAGGTTCGGCATCGTGTGTTCGGGCACAGAGACGATAATGCAATTGGTGTCACCATCTTAGACATGTTCTACGAATGTCGTCCCAGAGAATTCCACGTCGTGCATTATTTGCCGACTCTGGGACTGGTTGGAAAAAGCGGAGAGGTGGTCAGTATATGACATGTTGTCGTGGTATGAAAGAAAGCTGCAAAGGGCTAGCTTCTGTTGGTCCTTCACGACTCCCTGGTTGAGGTCCGAGAGACGGTGTAACGCAGTGGCTAGAGACGTTATCAGATATGGCTCAGAATAGAAGCCAGTGGCGATCCTGCTATAACCTTCATTTTCCTTCTTCATAAAAAGTGGTTGTATCTTCCTTAACTGTAAGATTTCCTCTGATTGTACCTCTTCGTTTCCCTCATTTTTGTTCTTTTTTTTATATAATTCCCTACGTCCCTTACCTTTTTCTTGCCTTCTCTTTAAATTCTCATTGTTTTGTGTGGCGCATATATATTTGGTGCCCCCTTGTACCAATTTTTATGTGTTCGAATAAAAATAAATATTAAAATCATGAATTATCGAGAAGTCCTTTAACCAACCTTAAAATTATATTGACTTCCTACAGAATTTGGTTTACCATTAAAAGTCAAAGGGCACTGAATGGCTGTTTTCTCATGAAATTCCTCAGCATCGTTGACTCGCTAACCTGTCAGTAATCAAACTCAGAAGCTTATGGAAAGCCCATTACCGCTAGGCCACCGAGTTAATATCTAATGGTTTACATTTCAAACTTCAGTCAATTCTCAATATTGCCATAGATCATACTGTGGTGTATGCTACTTATGTTTACAGATATAAGTAGTATGTGATACCAGTCTGAAGTAGAATGTGTGCAAGCGTAAGGTTGAGAAGATTGGAATGAAGAGAAAAGAGAAGGAAGCTAAGAGCAATCAAGATAACAACAGTAATGAAGGAACAATGAAGCTTGTAAGAGACAATTGAGAGACGCGCAAATGATGTATTTGATGTATGATTTTCTCATCTTGATAAACCACTGTGTGACTGCATTAAAAAAGTTAATTAATCTTCCACACTTGACTTATTTGTTCACTACGATACTTGTTTCACACTCTCGGCATAGTTAATTTCACTGGTCACATATTCTCACTTTCATCATACTGGAGTGAAAAACAAGTCACCTACATATGTTAAATCCTTTATCATAATTTCTTAGACATGAATTCCATGCTCTTTAGCACATATCAATAAGAAGTATTTATAACGTGAAAAGCCTTGATGTTGTTTGAGTTTTAAACTTCTTGTCAGTTTCATAGGCTGTTGTTGATTGACTAAGGATATGTTATAGTTACTAACTTCATCGACTAAAATATTATAATGTTAACCATGAAGATGTATTACAAAATGTCGACTATCTCTACGATCTAACTGCATTCGGTATAATGCTTTACTTATTTGTGCAATTCTATTTCATTTACGCTCACAGGTTAAAATGATCATGGCAACTAATCGTCCGGATACCCTTGATCCGGCTCTGCTTAGACCTGGACGTTTAGATCGTAAAATTGGTAAGCTTCTATCCTTTATCATAATTTATTTTCTTAGAAATTCCTCTGCCTAATGAACAAGCTCGAATGGATGTACTAAAGATACATGCAGCTCCAATAGCCAAACATGGTGAAATAGGTAAAGTGTCATTTTCTTGATTTCTCGTTCTTATATTGTTTATATTAATTCTCTCTTTGTTTGTCAAATTATAAAAATACTTTAGATTATTCAATAAATACCTTACTCTGCTTATAACTAGATAGAGTTTTCTGATTGGTTACGAAATCTCTCAAAGTACTTTTGTCAATACCAGTTAATTATAAGTAGTATAGTTATGATATACAGATTTCACAATGGGTATTACTCCAGGAGTATTAACACGGTGCTTTTAACCTTCATTCAAATATCACTGAGTTTAACCTCGCGATATGATAATTGTAAGCGAAATACCTAACCTATTGAAGTTACTTAATTATTATAATACGTTCTGGTGGTCCATTGATATCAATTAGTGTCATCAATTTTGCTTTAATTTAACTAATTCTGATTAGCTAATACGTGTAGATAACACTCAAAGACATAGAAGATTAGTTACTGTTATAACGCTCGGTTTTCTACGTCTACAGGAATAGGACGTTAATTAGCTTTAGACGAATATCTACACTAGATTCCTTCCTGATGTCCATTGTACAGGACTTCAACACAACTTAGATCAAGAACACGTGATTAGCCTGACTAGTACGTAAGTATATTTCCACACCAAAAAATGACGACAATCCGATACAATCCAACAACAACCAAATAATAATAAGAATAGGAGAATATATAACTCATCTGACGCTTGTCAAACCATTTACAAATCTGACTAAGCAAACTATTCATTATCCTTTTCGCTCACACATTAGTTACTGATTTACTAACTTAATTTAAACTTTTAATCCAAGGTTATTCTCCATACCTGTTTTACGCGAATCTAACATTACAGCATAAATCTCTAAATAAAAACCAAACCAAATTAAAAAATAATAATATGACGTCCATTTCACATAGCATCACATAAGCACCAAGTAGAGAGTACTAGAATGTGCATCATGAAAACAAAAAACAGAAAATATTTTAAACAAAGATGAATAATGGCTAGCAGTGGAATCGACGCACGCTTCGTCCTATTTGGGACCCGTCGGCTGGATGTACCTGCATCCAAGAGTTGATGTCCACTCCAGGACTCGAACCCAGTATTATTCGCTTCAGACGCCATCGCGTTATCCACTTAGCTACTGAGTTCTGATAGCCATCTGCCTGTTTAATAGAGTGAAGTTTAAATTCACTTGGTATTGTTTGACTTGTATCTTCCCATTGAGGTTTAAGACTGCAATTGATCAGTCTCATGTTGGCATATGTGCATCCTGTGCGGATCGCCTTGATATAGCCTTAAAAACAGAAAATATCATCGAAAAACAAAATAAGGATAATCCTATTCTAAAATTAGAAATAGCAAGTAGTGCAGAAATATAGTTCAAGTATAAACAAGAAATCAAACTATGTTTTATTCAGTTAGTATAGTGTATTGTATGACTATGAAAAGTATAATATACATGTCACTGGGATTGTACCAGATTAATAACATTTTAAACTTATCATATACTCTCCCTCTAAAACAATCTAGTCATTTTTCCTATTCATAATGATAATCTGTTTTTATATACTTTATTCAAGGCAATAATCTACTATTCAACATTTAAGTTTCTTTATTGGTGAAATAAGTTAGTACTTTCAAGAAGATTCTCATATTTTATCTAATTGAATATGACATAATTTGTGTATTGTGAAAATATGTGCAATCACATTACATCTACAATAATATTGTGTAATCTGAATCTAAATATTTTGTTTGTTTACCAACTATTAACTTAATTTATTCTGTAGATTGGGAAGCAGTTGTTAAACTATCTGATGGATTCAATGGAGCTGATCTACGCAACGTTTGCACAGAAGCTGGTAAGTTTTACTGCAATTATGTTGTCACTTACCTGAAGAGTTTTTAAATATACTAGTTGTTATTTAGTAGGATCACTAGAGCGGATTTATTATAGTATTTAGTAAAGTATGAATAAAACAACCTTTTGTATTAGATACTGAATAAGGCAAATTTGACATGATTTCAATTCGTATGCATCTTGAATTGATGAATAGTTGCAATCCGGATGGTTGCTTTTGATTTAATTGCGAAGCTTTCATCGTCATTATGGAAAACGTCTTCGGCGCTTATGTCATGTAGGATTCCTATTCACGCTACATTTAGTAAGGGGACAAATTGAAAGCAACATCCAACAAATGTGACCGTATACGATTTACCAGTTATATATATATTCGTGCGTTTTATTCGGTAGCGCAATATACTTCCTCGCTCAAGTAGTCAGTTGTAAGATTAGCAGGTAGCACATCGTGTATTAGTATCAGTTTTCGGACATCACCTGTCACAATAACTAGAATTGAGGTTATTCTCCATACTTTAATCCTGTAGACTAATTGCCACTATATGGGGGAAAATGTTTGAAAAAAAGTCCAAATACCCATTACAAACTTCAAACTCTCAAACTACGTATTTATGTACAAATAACACGTCACTAATAAGTGTACACTGTACTTATCTCATCTTTTGTTTTGCTCATAATGGCACTTTTCAAAATCCTGTTCTCCACTATCTTCGAATGCCATATCGCATATTTATTGTTGAGTTTAATTGATTAGCTCAAAAATTCCTTACTTTTTTCATAATTTTCAATTGTGCCAGAGCTTGTATTTCTCAAATGTTATTTCACCTTATTATTCTTTTTTCTTTGGTCAATATAGGTATGTTTGCTATACGTGCAGAGCGAGATTATACAATAGAAGAGGATTTTATGAAAGCTGTACGAAAAATAGCTGATGCTAAGAAATTAGAAACAAAATTAGACTATAAACCAGTCTGAATATAACGATATACTATTTTGCATGCACATTGCTGATGTATAAGAGGTTATTCAACAAGTATTGATTTTCAATCAAACAAAGTTTTTATTAATCAACCTAATAAAGTGTTTAACCAATTATTACTTGTATATTTCGGCTATGTTTTATATAGTACAAAGGCGAAATAAAAATGTAATTTACTGGTCATAATTTCATTGTTTTCGACATAGATAGTGTAATCAAGTCATATTGACTAATTAGGGCTTCGTCAGACAATTTAAATGGTATTTAATATATGTTTCTTGCAGGTAGTGTTCCTGTGGGAATGAATAAATTAGAATTGTGTGCAAATATCCCATCCAATATTGTGTTTAACTGATATGCCGAATAAACACAATGACTAGTCAAGATTATATCATATCTTTAAAATTTGTAAAGATATAGTAATCATTCAGAAGGACATCTACTGTTGCTGTGGTGTGTGCTACTTATGTATGCAGTTGCTATATTTGAAGCGATTATGAGTTCACCTAATTTGAGAAACGAAACGAAGATTCTGTGACACAATGACAGATAAGCCAGCTATTCTGACGCGTCTCAGCCTCGCTAACTAGAGAGAAAAGTTTAAGTTCGGAAAAGGGAAATATATTCCACAAGCAGCCAGCAGTACGAGCATTAAAAACAGACACAAATCAAACGCATATATACAGCTTAAAATCGTCATTAGGATGCGCTACAAAAGAGCATATTGAAAAATACAACGAAGCAATAGTGTTTAAAATCCTCTCAAGTAAGAAATACGACATGAAGGTAGAAATGAGCGCTTCCGGCGCGAAAACAAGAAATTCAGATTTTTAGAATTACAAAAATAAGTTATTTGCCATGTGAGTTCTGGGAATCTAACATCCCCGACAGTAGTACATAACGCTAGTGAGGAATAGCATGTCTGGCAGAAGAAGGGTAACAGAAAGCAATTGGTATGGGAATGCAAGAACAATGAAGTCTGAGACAATTAATGGACAGTTTACAAATGAGGTATTGGAGTATGGTTTTTCTATTTTATCAAGTAACTCTGTAGATTTGTGCTAGATATAATCGGTTGTCCTCACCTGTGTTCACTACATTTGTTATCGCTGACTTCACTAAAAATGAAGACTCCTTGCCGAATGAATTTGAGAACGGAGATGTGCTGAGCTTTATGAAGGAGTTTGAAGCCGTGGTGGAGCTGATCAGAGTGAAGGAGCCTAAGGCGAAGATGGTGGTGTTGGGGACGCTGCTAAGGGGCAGGGCGAAAGTTGTATGTGACAGCTTGGACGGCTCTGGTGGAAAGATGACATGGGAGACAGTCGCGAAGCGGCTGATCGCGGAGTTCGACAGCCCAGTGGGCAGGGAAGACACACTGACTAAAAGCCTATCGAGACCGATATTAGGAGCAGATTTCCTAAGAGAAGTAAAAGAAATAGTTGACCTAACAAGCGGTAAGATGGTCACAATGTACGGTTTATTTCCAATACATGAAAGTAGCGAAGTGGCTAAGATAAGAGTGGCAACAGACGTTTCAACGAAGGAGCCAAATACTAGCGAGTTCTGCACAAAGTACACGAAACTGCTCACTAGAAACGGAGCCGTACGGATTTCGTGACAAAGTAAAGTACGAAATCCCAATAAAGAACAATCGAGTAAATATATTTGCAACACGTCGTGCATTCAGAGGATGAGGTAAATCGACAGGTATAATTGAGGAGGCGGACAACCCGTATAACTCTTGGTAAAGAAACTGAATGGAAATTATGGATTTTGTGTCGATTTTAGAGAACTGAAACCTTGTGCAATACCTACAGTAGTGGGAACATTAGATCAGTTGCAGAATGATACGGTGTTTACAGTGCAGGATTTGCGGTCAGGTTATTGGCAGCTGCCTATAAAATAGAGCGAGCGAAACAACGCAGCATTTACTGTATGTGATAGTGTCAATTTAGACGAATGCCAATTGGGTTGGCGGGTGCCCCGCTCACGTGCAGAAGATTAATGACGCTGCTGCTCAGGGATCTAGCTAAAGTCGACGTGGCTGTGTGCAGCTATACAAAAGCATCACGCCAAGTCAATTGAAGAATTTGGACTTCGAATTAATAGGGACAAGTCGCATATAGCGAAAAGTAGCGTCACGTCGCTGAGGCATAAAGTGGGAAATGCGGAAATAGAACCATAGCCTGAGAAAACTCTACCCATAAAGGGAATTGAGAAAATTCCTGAGAAGAGCGGCATTCTACAGTCGGGTCGTTAAGAGCTTCAGCGACGTAGCAACATCCCTATGTAAGTTATTGTGCAACACAAAGTTTACGTGGACTGAGACCGCTCAACAAACCTTCAACCGAATCAAAAGCATACCAGGTGACGCTCAGACTGCATAAACCCGAGAAACCGTTTATAGTGGCCAGAGATGCAAGTGATCATGGTATAGGTGCCATCTTGGATCAGTTTAATAGAGTAGTGGAATACGTAAGCTGCGTTCTCGCATCCATCAAACAGAAGTATTCAACGATCGAAAAGGAGTAATTAGCAATTGTGTGGGGAGGAGAGAAATGGAAACCGTACCCTTCAGGTAGATGACTCCACAACGAGACTGACCATGAACACCTACAGTAGCTGAAAACAGCAGGAGACCCACGTAAAAAGTTGGCGCGGTGGATGACACGTCTGCAGGAATACGACTTCAGTGTCAGCCATGTTCCAGGAAAAGAAAACGTAATGGCGGACTACTTGTCAAGACCAGACATGAAACCCGAGCTCCCGTTGTCAACATACGCAGTGAATAGTATAGAGTGAGATCCACTAGAACTTATCTGGCAGCAGAAAGTTGACCCTATATTTCGAGAGGTAATCTGAGATAAAAGAGGGAGAAGGCGTCGACAAACGAGTAATGAACGAGAAAGTAATAATTTTGCTTCGGCAAAAGGAAAGACAGTGAACACATATGGACCCCTGATCTGGCAGAACAATGACGAAAATTGGACGGCTGCGAATCCGAAGAACCGGGGGCGTAAAGTGATACATGAGTGTCACCAGGCATCGCAAGGACGACAGATTTACTATGACTAAGTGCATACTGGTCAGGCATGAGAGACGATATGGCCCAATACGTGTTAACTTGCCAGTAGTGCCAACTAATGAAAAGCGATCGATACACGCAACTGCCATTACAGTCAGTCCCAGTAACTGCAGTCGGTGGACCGTTTCACAGACGGAAAGCGGTAACCAGTACCTGCTAGTGATCACGAAACATGTTACACGTTGGGAAGAGACACCGTACCCATCGCAGACCAACGGGCAAAAACAGTGACCGAAGTAGTAATCCGGTATATTGTAGCGCGTCACAGAATACCGAACATGATATTAACCGATCAGCGTCCCTGTTTTGAAAGTGACGGGTTTAAAGCCTATCTTAAGCAGTGTTAAGTTTGCTTACATTGTTCCTACTCGTTTCCTTCCCACTCTTTTGTATATTGTTTTGTACTACTTATTTACATTCAGTAAGCAATTGTATTTCCAACAATTTTGCACCTATGTTGTAACGCAAGTCGTATTGTATTATTCTGAATTATTCACATATATTTATGACGTTTATTGTACATATAATTGTATTTATCATTATAATTACTGTACCTTAATCACTGTAACGTTTATCCACAGTTTCGTGCATTTGTTTAAACGCAACAGTTTCCATATTGTTTTGCTCTTGGTTCGGGTTTCGGTTGTTCATAAACTGCTATCAAATTTAGACACAGCTGTCAGCTGTGCTTTGTACTATCGAAACCTTTTATCTTTATACTTGAAGGACGCGTTTAAACACCACAGACACCTCACAAGTTGAGAACTGTTACTTCTATCAAAGCGTCTACTTAACCTGATTGAGATACGCGCGAAACCGATGTTCCGATTAAGGAAGATATCTTCAATTGAGTCGTTGTACCCGAGATTCCGACTTGCTTTGCTACATCACTAAGTACTAGAGTCGTATCTGAACCATTGTCTAACAAGGCATATGTATTTACGTATCCCGTGGGCCCGTGTAGCCTAACAGGTACGAATCCTAAGTACGTTTTAGTGGAATAAATCGAGTTACAATGTGCTTGTTTAGTGCCAGAGTCTGTGTTATGAAGAACCTTATGATGGCGTCGCTTACATAAATGGGTCAGTAACGTAAATGATGCTCTGAATGAGGTCCCTATATGCGATAGGTCAGACAATCTGATTTGTATTACGAGTTCTCTGGGTCTCGATCCAAAGACGTAAAACCCGTAACTAAGGCAAGTCACCGATACACCAATACGACCATGGAGGACGAGACGGAACCTAAAAGACACGTAGACAGTATAAGGTCACTATTTATGACAGCAGGTCTACCGAAGATAGAGATCAGGAAATTCGACGGAAGCCCTCTAAAATTTTGGGCATTCATGAAGGAATTCAAAGTTAACATTGCTGACAGAGTTAACGACGACACTCAGCGATTAATGTAATTGATACACTATTGTGACGGTATAGCAAAAGATGCCATCGAACACTGCGTTTTGTTACCAGAAGACAAAGGTTATACTGAAGCGGTTAATATTTTACATAAGCAGTTTGGTAGACCGCACGACATCGTAGAAGCATTTTTAACAGAACTATTAAACGGGTCACCAATAAGCCAGGATGATGTGGCAGGGCTGCAGAAACTAACAAGACTCATGACCAACTGTAAATTAGCCTTGTCACAGATGGGACGAATTGCTGACCTGAATTGTTCGACCAACATAAAACGAATACTAAAACGATTGCCACGAAACATGCAGTTTAAATGGGCAGAAGCCGCAGATGATATTTTAAGAAGAGGGCTAGAACCTGATTTCAATGATTTTCTACAATTCCTAGAAAGGAAAGTGTCAATTGCGACGAACACTTACGGACAGTTGGCAAGTGGGAGCTACAAAGCTCAAACGACATCGAACAACCAGCCTGTATTTAGTAGAGCTAAGATCCATACCTTATCAAGCAAAGAAAAACTACATTGTGTAATCTGCTCTAATGTCCACGAAGTTGCATTTTGTCCACAGTTGCTAGAAGTAAGTCACGACGAAAAACTAGAATTACTGAAGAGGTTTAAGCTATGTTTTAACTGTTTAAAGCCCAATCATCGAGCAACAGACTGTCGTCAATCTATGTTGTGTGGAGTCGATGGATGTAAGCGACGCCATCATAAGGTTCTTCATAACACAGACTCTGGCACTAAACAAGCACATTGTAACTCGATTTATTCCACTAAAACGTACTTAGGATTCGTACCTGTTAGGCTACACGGGCCCACGGGATACGTAAATACATATGCCTTGTTAGACAATGGTTCAGATACGACTCTAGTACTTAGTGATGTAGCAAAGCAAGTCGGAATCTCGGGTACAACGACTCAATTGAAGATATCTTCCTTAATCGGAACATCGGTTTCGCGCGTATCTCAATCAGGTCAAGTAGACGCTTCGATAGAAGTAACAAGCAGTTTGGCATCAAAAGAATACGAAGCACAGCATATCAACCTCAGACGAACGGGCTAACAGAAATTGATTTTGCCTCTATACAAGGAACAACCAAGAAGTCACCTTCCCTGCTTATGTATGGTAGACAGCCACCAATTCCAATGCATAATCAGACCTGGCCACAACAACAGAAGTGGACGACAACAAGATTAAGAGAGGAAGGAGGCCATACGGAATGTGGGAAATAAACAAATATCAGACACAATGAAGGCAGAACAGCAGAGAAGAACGTGGAAGTCTCCTGCAGTGGAGGACCTTGTAAAGTGTAGAGAACGAAAAGGTAACATAGCAGGGGGACCAGGGTCAGGAAAGCTGATCCCGAAGTGGAAAGGACCGTACATTGTCACGGAGAGACATGACTTGCTTTACACGATCCGGAGAGAAGAAAACCAGAAGCGCGTAAATGCCAGACAACTGCAGAAATGGTTTCAAGTGAGTGACGAACATCACCATGGACAGCGGTGCGGCGACCAGAAAAATGCGAGAACAGCTTATTAAAAGGGGGGCTAGTGTGGTGTGCTACTTATGTCGAAATATGTATCATATAACGCAAGTCATGGATAGAATGTCTGGCAGAAGAAGGTTGAGGGAGGAACGGGAACAGAAAGAAATCGGTAAGGAATTGCAAGAACAATGAAGTCGGAGACAAATAGTGGATGTTCTACAAATGAAGTATTGGAGTATGGTTTTTCTATTTTATCAAGTAACTGTAGTTTTTTGCTAAGTATAATCGGTTGTTCTCACCTGTGTTCTCCTTCACTACACCGCTACTGATGGTAGTAGCTTGAGGGACCGTGTTATTTAAGATAGCATTATTAGGGCCAACATTGTTATTGTGATGTAGCAACTCTATGTATTTGACAATTGTTCCTATTGGTTACATCACCTTAAGAAACACTATAAATGATAAAATTTAGCTGATTGTTTTTGAGAAATATATAAGCGTTGAAGTTCAGTGACGTACTAATCATTTAAACTGTCTACTCACATTAGATCTGATCTCAATATTTTTGACTCATCAATTGAAATAAATTCAGCTTAAGAATAACAGTTATCTGACCGATAACTATGTTGTGACTACACAGGCATCTTTGTTAAACAAGTACATCAGCATCGAAACAGTATTTCACTACAAGCTATACTCTGACAATTTTGTTATATCGACGAAAGGGATCACAATTTGTAAACGAATCGCGGTACATTATAAACTTGAAACAATTGATAATCATCTTATAAATTATACACGACTAAACTTAATGAAACATTGATTTGGTTAGTTTAAATAATAATCTACCAACTTACAATTTAGAGTATTTTAATGAGTTAATTACAATTCAAAACATTTATAAGAGATATATCAAGTAAATACTGTTATTATACATTATTGATAATCTATTTACATTGTTGTATATGTTTATAATATTAGTTATTTTATTAGACAAAACAACTTTCTTGTTGTTGTTTTTTTGGTTAAAGTTAGAAAATACGTAGCTTTTTCTCTTTCATTTGTTTATTTTGCATATTTACAATAGTTCGTTCATTCTCTTTTAATTGTATCAATTGTGATTGTAAATCATTAATTCGTTGTTGTGCTTGTTTAACTGCTAAACGATCTCGTCCTTCATTTCTACTCACTGAATCTTGAGCTTTAGAAATTTGTTTATGTAATCGATTGATTTGTTCATGTGTATGGAGTAGCTTACGTTTTAGAATACTTTCATTACAATTTGTAAGAGAAATTTGTGATGTTACGGTATTCTTTGTATTATCATTGTTATTATTATTAGGGCGTGTTGGATTTTGGTCATTGTTACTGGATGTCGATAATAATGCCATATTAATTAACTTAAAAACACTTCCACTATGAGAAGAAACATGATTTTTTGGTGTTTTACTTGACTTTTCTATTGTTTTATCACGGCATGCAATGCTTTTCATACGTTTTTGGGATAACACAACATTGTCTAGTGAGGGTCGATGATTCCACTTTACATTATGCACTTGATACTTTTCAAGGTTAGTACATACAGGAGATTGACGACCTTGGTGACAGCGACCAAGTCCACCGTAACCTGGATAACCCATACTTGCTAATAAACGAGAGCCTATCCCTCGAGTATGTGCCTCCCAATCACCAATGGAACTCTGTTTTTCTTCTTTATTAACATTGGGATATTCCTTATCGGTGTCTAAATTTGGTGGTTGGTCCGGTAAAAGTGTATTACCGAAGACAAATTGAACCCGTAAACGACGTTTATCATACTAGGAAAAAGAAATCACGAAGAGGCTTTTTTACAACTATAAAATGTAACTCATATTAAACATGAAGAATATTATTTACGACATGGTTTGTTGTTACATAACAAATATCCTATATTCTTGATGGGCATGCTTCATACTTATGAAGTAGGACGGAGCGAACTGCTGTACATTATACTCGTTCTTTGGTAGGCAGATAGATATCTCACCTACAACACAAGTGATGCAAGTTGGCAAATGCCAATCGAATAAGTTTCATGTCCGTCTCAAATGAAAACTTCACTGCAGTCTATACTCCCTTTAGCGTGAAAGCCAATTTATAGTCAATGTCATGTACGGTTTACTCGGTAACTTCCAGTTCATACGTAAACAACTACAATTTTAAGCTATAAGTAATAGGTCTAGAAAACTAAAATACAAAAACATATCAACAAACCTGCGAACATGATTTCGATTCAGTCGTCTGTCCACTATTGATCAGTTCGATGGAAGGCCGAGTATACGAAGTAGTAGAATCCAAATAATCACTGCAATCCACAGAATTAGTAGTTGATGATGAAATATCACTATCTACAGATACATCAGTGTCAATCATCATCATCATCATCATCATCATTTTCTAATATATGGATACATTCTAGTGGCAAACTAGTTACTTTATCCTCTAAGTTTCCGTACGATTGACGCTTCACTGAATTCTTATCAGGTTGGTTTTTAACATGACCCCATTCAACAACACAAGTGCCTGATTCGAAATCCGTTTGAAGAAGCCTTGCATAATGCCATAAAGAATTGTGATCACTTTTACGGTCATTAGCTAGACATGGTTGACCTTCATGTAGATATTTTTCTGTGTCTGGTTCATACCATTCTCCAATATCCTTTGAGAAGAAAAACCATAATATATGATTACTTCAGATTTGCATAGTTACAAAACTTCATATTTTGTGCGCATTAAGTAGCTGTAACCAAATTAGATGACACATTTACTACGTGATTTAAAACGTAAATAAAGAAATCATACATACAGTTTTGTGATATCAAATTAATTTGAAAAGACAGGATCCCTAATTAATCACCGCACTTCTGAATATAGCACGTTGTGCATGGTTTATGGTTTGATGAGAAGGCAGAAAGATCCAATATACACTACAAACATTTATATCGCCAAAATTAATACAATTACTCTCACACGGCCACGTGTATACAGCCTCTGCCAGGGAAGTCCTACTCACTGCCTTCTCGTGGTGGGGGTGTTGTTTTTGAGAATGAGAGGACGAAAAGCGAATGTCCGGCGCTATAACTGGATCCCAATTCAATGGTGCACATGGGCTCCAGTATCCTGCGGGAACAAATGGCGTATGAACCAACTTTTGGTCACCGGCTTCCATGGGACTGCATCTCCTCACGATGCTCCACTGCCTTGTGGACTAGACCTTTAGGTCAAAGGCTCGGGGTGTGGCCCCCTAAGAAAACCACCTGCCTCGGTTTGGGCACCCGGGCAGTATCTCAGCCCACACACTAAAACCATGATGAACTATCTGCTTATAGAAAATATTCGTTTCTCTCCGACTAACATTGAAATGACTGGTATTATTATTATTATTATTATTATTATTATTATTATTTACTACGTCATTTATTCACTATCTCCTATTTCTACTTTTTGTATCCGTTTCGACTCAGACAGCAGCTCGCCTATGGTGAAAATTCAGCTTTATCTAAACGTTCTCGAGTCACTGCCTGGTTGAAAATTGTATGTTACTACCGAATATGAGTACTGAAGCAGTCTTTCTGAAACCACGTGCACCATTCAAACTGGCTGCCTTCAACGTTCGCACACTTATACAGGTCGGACAACAGATAGGGCTGGCTATGTCTTTGGAAAGTCTTAATATTGATGTGTGTTGTCTATCCGAGACCTGTATTCAAGACTCTGGTGAAGTACTACAATTTCGCTCATCATCTGTCACTTCCAAAAGCTGGTTTTATGTGCGTTTATCCGGGGACCCCGTGGCATCTTTGTCTGGTCTTGCTGGCGTCGGTGTCGCACTAAGTGCTAGAGCTGAGGCAGCACTAGTCGACTGGATCCCCATTAACAGTCGGTTATGTGCCGTTAGATTAGAAAGTTCCATCAAAGTGAGAACAAATCGGCGTGAGAAACGATGTCTTTTCGTCATCTCCGCCTATGCCCCGACAGATTGCAGCCCGGATGCAATCAAGGATGAGTTCTACCATCAGCTAACTGTTCTTCTCCAGAAAGTGCGTTCGACAGATATTGTAGTACTAGCTGGAGACTTGAATGCTCAGGTCGGGCGTCTAGGCACAGAAGAGAGTCGCTTAGGTGGCCGATGGGGACTTGTTGGTCACAGGAAAGATAACGGGGAACGTCTACTGCAACTATGCACAGACCACAACCTGTTTCTGGCTAGCACTAACTTTCGGCACAGTCATCGCCGATGTGCCACCTGGCGTCCCCCTTCTGCATCTCAAGCCTGGACTCAGATTGATCACATCGCGACCAGCTACCGCTGGCGCTGTTGTGTACAAGACTGCCGCTCCTTTTGGAGTACCTATCTGGAAACTGATCATGCTCTGGTCTGAGCCAATCTTACCTTACTTTTCAGTGGACAACGAAGTGACCGCCACCAAAGGATCGATGTTAGCAAGCTGGCTGAAACTTCTGTTGCTAGTATGTACCGAACCGAGCTAGGTTCTAGGCTAGCTACCACTCCACCGAAAAGCATAGATGAGCATTGGTTGCAATTGCATGACGCCATGAAAATGGCGGGTCAAGTCACTTGTGGGTTTGCGAAACATCCCGCTTACAAGCACTGGGTTTCTTCTGTTTCCTTACAACTGATTGAAGCCGGTCGGTCTACTCCAGGTGACCGTGAGTTTGACCACAGACGAAGGATGTTACGTAATGAAATCGGGCAAAGCTTGGGTAAGGACCGAGAAGCCTGGTCGTCGGAACACCGCCATACTTATCAAAGGCCAACAATCGTAGTGTTTCTTGATATCAGGGCTGCCTTCGATTCGTTGGACAGAACTGTTCTCTGGGATTGTCTATTGAAGAAGGGTGTGCCTGAGAAGTTTATTAACATCCTAAAAGCCCTATACACAAACACCTCAGGCAGAGTGAGGGCATACAACCACCTTTCTCCACTATTCCATTCGAGCAGTGGGGTTAGGCAGGGTTGCCCAATCTCACCATTCCTCTTCAACTTTGCCATCGATGGCATTCTGGAAACAGCTCTGATGGATGTAAGTAATGGTGGTGTGGATCTGTTGCCTGGAGAAAGACTTCTCGACCTTGAGTATGCGGATGATATTGTCTTACTGTGCGAGAATGCCCAAGCCATGCAATCCGCACTTAATCAGTTGGCAATCAGTGTCCGTAGGTATGGTATGTGCTTTGCACCCTCGAAGTGCAAAGTTCTTCTACAAGACTGGCAGGATTCTAATCCTGTACTCACTCTGGATGGTGAGCAGATAGAAGTAGTCGAGAAGTTCGTGTATCTGGGTAGCTGCATAAGTGCTGGTGGTGGCGTGAGTGATCAGATCAGTGAACGTATAGTGAAAGCCAGAGTGGCTTATGCCAATCTGGGCCATCTTTGGCGCCTTCGTGATGTTAGTCTGGCTGTAAAAGGTCGGATCTACAACGCGTCGGTGAGAGCAGTTTTGCTCTATGCTTGTGAAACCTGGCCTCTCCGAGTTGAGGATGTTAGACGACTCTCTGTGTTCGATCATCGCTGTCTCCGAAGGATTGCTGACATCCAGTGGCAACACCATGTTATTAATGCAGAGGTTCGGCATCGTGTGTTCGGGCACAGAGACGATAATGCAATTGGTGTCACCATCTTAGACATGTTCTACGAATGTCGTCCCAGAGAATTCCACGTCGTGCATTATTTGCCGACTCTGGGACTGGTTGGAAAAAGCGGAGAGGTGGTCAGTATATGACATGTTGTCGTGGTATGAAAGAAAGCTGCAAAGGGCTAGCTTCTGTTGGTCCTTCACGACTCCCTGGTTGGGGTCCGAGAGACGGTGTAACGCAGTGGCTAGAGACGTTATCAGATATGGCTCAGAATAGAAGCCAGTGGCGATCCTGCTATAACCTTCATTTTCCTTCTTCATAAAAAGTGGTTGTATCTTCCTTAACTGTAAGATTTCCTCTGATTGTACCTCTTCGTTTCCCTCATTTTTGTTCTTTTTTTTATATAATTCCCTACGTTCCTTACCTTTTTCTTGCCTTCTCTTTAAATTCTCATTGTTTTGTGTGGCGCATATATATTTGGTGCCCCCTTGTACCAATTTTTATGTGTTCAAATAAATAAAATACAATTACAGAGAATGTAGATGTAGCGTTGTAATATATTTCTCTGATCCGTCAGTTAATCATACCTACCACTTTTAAAAAGCAAATAAATCAAGTAATCGATAGTATACTGGTGTCTTAGTCATATCTGAACTGTTCATACCAACCTAACTTGAGATAATTAATCCTGTACATTTGAATAGGAATGTACATTGAAATTAACTAGAAATAAACCAATGGGGAGTCCTGGAAATAGATTTATTGACGGATCATTAATTAATACATATTATTAACTAAGCACAGGTTTAAGTACTCGGCTCTGACCCAAACTGCGTGTGTAATAGTTAATGATATCAACCAATAACCTAAGTGGACTAAGATTCAAACTCGGGACTTATTGTTTGCGAGTCAAGTCCTCTTAGAACTAAGCCATAGCGCCAAGTGTGATTTCTATCAATGAATATCATGCAAACAAGTAAAAAACAACTTAGGAACTTTTAAAGTTGCAGAGTACATTGTACAAAACAGATAAACCATAAATTCGACACAAATACACCTAGGGTTAGTGACTAAAGAGTATCGAAAATAGGATTGGAACCATGAAAATCAAGTGCGGAATTTTAAAAGCTAAAATTATTCTAACGCCAATCAAATACAGTGTCAAATGGGAATCGAATGGGTGACTTATCAAAAAATATGTGTAATGATAGCGCTTATAAAGTTTATTGTAACTTACTTCGATGTTGAAAATCTTTCCATGAGAGCGAGTACAACGTATACCCCGATGACAGGTCCCAGTCTCGAAAAATCTTTCACAAGGCATTTCACTAAGACGTGTTGGATGAGCCAATAGTACTCGTACTCGATCTGGGCTGTTTCCATCATGGTCTACAACTGAAAGGATTAGCGCATTTTGTCGAATAAATTTTCCAGCCGAAGTCCATCCAGGAACACTACAACGTTGTCCGACTAAAGATTGTTCATTAATTGTTGATACATCTGTTTGAAGTGACGTTCCTTGTATTTCATCATCGTTCTCTTGATTATCAGCAAGTATAGATCCAATTTCAGCTAAAAGTTGTGCTTTTCTACAATTCAAAAGTTCATTTTCCTTCAATTCAATCAATTCTTCCAAGTCTTTTTTTAGATTTAGTAAATCAGAACACTTTAATTGATCATTTTCTTCTACAAGGTATGTATTTATCTGATTAAGTGTTAGCTTCAAATTTTCAATCTCTTGTGATATTCCAGTGATTGACTATAAAAAAATAATGCTATTCCAAAGTACATAATGATGGAATGATGCTATTAAGAAAAAGTTACTTTATATATATATATACATATATATATATATATATATATATATATATATATATATATATATTTATTATTTTATTTTAACACATAGGTATTGGTACAAGGAGGCACCAAATACATATGCGCCACACGAATCTCAATTGATTTGTGTGAGGGCTGTGATACTGCCCAGGTGCCCAAACCGAAGCAGGATATATATATATATATATATATATATATATGTTTCAGTTACTATTCAAAGACAAGTTCATAATTGTGTAAGGGGTTGGTGATGTCAGATTATATATGAAAGACTGAATTATTATTTGACAGATTACTGAAATGGTTAGGACTGAGCTTATATATATATATATATATATATATATATATATATATATATATATATTTCATGTGATAAACAATTGATTCATGATTTCAACCAGTGAAATTTCTAAAATCTCCACACAATCCCTCCTGATAATAATAATCATCTGCTCATTAGTGACTGACTTCAAGAGATACTCCTGGAGTTCTAGTGAGAAGCCGTTATCAGTGGAGTTCAACCAGGTCTGTTGTGTGATATCAGCTCACTGAAGACAATGGTGTACGGTGGCGCAACTTCGTGGATTGGTTGAAGTTAGACATTAACACCGTTGGATGCCGGCTCAGTGGTCTAGTTGGTTAAGCGTCTGGCGCGAAACTGGTAGGTCCTGGGTTCGAATCTCGCGAGGGGCGGGATCGTGGATGCGCACTGCTGAGGAGTCCCATACTAGTATGAGACAGCCGTTCAGTGCTTCCAGGTTTTCCGTGGTGGTCTAGCTCCAATTGATTCATGATTTCAACCAGTGAAATTTGAAAACCATCTTGTGTATACTAGGGTTGACGTATAATTGTTATCAAGTGATAATTTAAACTAAATCTATACAACTCAACTTCATAATCATATATAACAGGATTACTCTATTATAACGGTACTGTTGATATGATAAACGATATAACTAGATAGAATAATTGATGAAATGACTTATTTTACAATAATATTGAATTTTTCGACTAGATAATGAAAGATCCAATCAAAATGTCATATAATATAATTTTAATTCTGTTCGTTATTTAACAATTGAATAATCACTAATTATTTCATTGAATCACATGAAGAGTGATATATACATATTTACTGGAATATTATTACAACAGTAATTAAATTTTCTTTATTATTATTATTATCAAAATCAATCATGAACCTAACATAGATATTTGGTCATCTTACAATAGAATTGGATGTTCGACAAGGTCATCTTAGTGAATGATATGCATACACGTATAAACAGTATAAGAGAGAGATAGACTACAAAAAACTTATGTAGGATAAATAATAATAATAATAATAATAATAATAATAATAATAATACAAACGAGAAATCAAAAACTACGCATATATAGTAAATAATTTATCTATTAAACACAAAACAGATTACAGTGTTAGATTAAAGGTGATAGTGATAATAATTATCATTATCACTATCATAATAATAGTAGTAGTATATACACATACATATTTATATGAACAATAGAAATAAACGCATCAATGAAATAATACTATTTGTTGTACATAAATATATTTATATATACATAGAAGAAAATGTAGACAGCACTAACGAATGCAAACTACCATACACGGAATACAAACAAATTCTATTAGTGTTCCTATTAATTTCATCAACATTATCGAATATAATAACAATAATATGAACTTTGTATATGCACACATAAATACACACACACAAAGTGATGAAATGAATAAGTATGAGTAGATAGTTATTAGTTAAACAAGCAAATAGAAAAGTAACATTCAATCAACTTATACAATACAAATAGTGAATAGAAAGAAAATCCTAAAAATTTAACAAATAGAATATTATTTATACACAGTAACACTAAACATCAGTGATGAGAAAAGAATAATAATAATAATAGTAATTTATATATAAACATTTATATGACATGTTGATAATTCTCATTGTAATATATATATATATATATATATATATATATATATATATATATATATATATAATAAAAATGCTGCATGGTAGTGCATAACGTACATACACAACACTGTACAATTCTATGTATCATTGGATATTGGTGGTGTTTGAAATATATATCTCTAAAAATTAACAAAAAAGAAACATAAATGAATTATGGGAAATAAAAGTTAATGCATTGTGTTATAAAGTAATAAGGGGTAAGAAGAAGAAACAGAGAAAAAACCTTTAGATAACTAAGAGGTGAATTTGAAAATTATTTGAACTTAGAATTTGTTAGTCACGATTTTGCGGTCACTAATATACAACAAGTGTTTTTTTTAATTTCAGAACCGGGAAATGAACACAGTCCGAGGATTTGTATACAGCCTGTTGTTAAATAGTGATCTAAATTCGATCAAGACAGTAATTTAATCGACGATCATTAGTAACGTTAATTACGTAGTAATGTGAGCGTGATTTAGTGACCGGTTGCTATAGGATTGCATTTCCTGATGTCGTTACATTTTCTTTCATATTAGATATTAAGACTATGAGGGCTCAGTGGATGGTTTCTTAAAAAAATATGCATTGGTTTGTATCCCTGGACAGTATCGTGTCTCTTACATAAATTATTTAAAATATAAACTTAAAATATCATTATCAAACGATCCAGCTTTTGATTGCATACTAAGATACATATCATATATTGTAGTTTTAAATGGATTTCAAAAAGAAGTAACGAAATACATGTTAAGTACTAAATATGAAAAGAAAACATACCTTGAAATTCATAACTACCGAATTACGGAGTAGTTACTGGTTCCACCATTACATATATTTCCTTGAGAACTCGTTCCTGGACAGCTGTTTGATGAATGTTTAATTAGGGAAGTTAGTGATTTTGAGCCTCTAGTGATTGCAACGTTATTTCGACGTCGAACTTGTCGGACTATGGGATTATGGGTCGAAAACCTTCGTGAAGATCTCCGTAAGGTAATTGGAGAAGATAAAGTGTTGGAATCCAAATTGGTTTTCGATGATGATGGAGACAATGATTTACTAGAGTTGTTAGGACTATCTTCTAGCTCTTCAATTAGATTATGAATTCCAGGACTGAAATGATGTACTAAATTTTTGGTGACCAAACTTATCCTCTGAATGGAGTCCAACAGGTATCTTTTACGTTGAGAAATGCCTTTGATCAATTCAATAGCTACATTAAACTGACTAGCCATCTCGGATTCATCTGATTTTAATCCAGATTCTATAGATTTTGCTGTTTCACTAACACCTTGAGATACACTAAGTGATGATGTAACACTCTGAGTAGAAATGCAATGAAGCTGGTCAGCTAAATCAGTCTCCATATTTTTTATGGTTTCTAGTGTCTGCAATTCTGTGTATGCCTAAAACCACAGAAACGGAATCTCTATTAGCAAAAAAGATTAAGAAAACTTGGCTTCAATCGATATGCGAGAACCGTCACTCCCAAACTAACATACAGACATAAGAAAAGGTTGTCTAACTGTATATGTATACTAAAGATTCGACTAACATAGATCTGAAATGAAACAATGTCTCAAGCAAAAAAACGAGTTAAGGAGAGAAGTGACAAAAATTATTTCGTTCCTTTTGGTTATTAGATAAGAATACTAGATGATGTTATCAATATTGAGGGCTTAATAGACAGACATTGATGAATGACGATTATCTAAAGAATATGTTAAACATAAACCATATTGTGGACGGATACCATCAGAAACAGTCTACTATGGGAGAGAACAAACCAGCTTTCAGTTGGGAAATGGATAGGACATACATTAAGCAAATAATCAAACTGCATCACGAGGCAAGCCCTAACTTGGAATCCTGAAGGGAAGTGGAAAAGAAGAAGGCCAAAGAACACATTGCGTCGGGAAATAGAAGCAGATATGAAAAGGATGAATAACAACTGGGAAGAGCTGGAAAGGATTGCCCAGGACAGGGTTGGATGGAGAATGCTGGTGGGCGGCCTATGCTCCTTCACAAGGAGTAACAGGCGTAAGTAAGTAAACCAGATTGGGTAAGAACTATTTAAAATACAATCTTTGTGTGACCGACACGCTTAACTACTTCAATCCCTGATGGCTGGTCCTGAGGTACCATTTAGAGTTCGAGAAATCTATCCAGACTATTTTCGGCCCACTTAAACTGTTTAGATGACCAGATATTTTGCCATAATTTTCAAACGACGTACATTTGGCATATGTGTACTCCAACTCAATAAGTCACTTGTGTTTTTCCAGTAAGTTCATGTAATGATAGACATAGCATTTATAACTGACTTGTAACTTAGAAAGTTTTATCTCAAACACATCACCGACTTTATCGTCTTTGAACTCAGTTCGAAGAGATTTTATAGCTACATTTTTCTGCGAACAGTAGGACATAAACAAAAAGGTTACTTCCAGTATGGTATAAAATTTGCAAAAATAAGTGTCATCTTATCCTATCAATTAATAAACATTAAGAATGAGAGAAATTGGAACAAATTTAAATAGTGTAAACAGCAGAGACAATGATTGGAAGTAAAAAATTTCACGTGTTGAGCTACGAGCGAAAGCCACTGGTAGATTTAGATTCGAATTAACAGGTTACTTCATGAACTATTGAAGTATATATTTCCAAACACAAAAGCTGACTTGTCTGACAAATTTTTAAAGACGAATTATAAAACCAAGACTTTTAATGATAACACTTACCAATAAATCCAAGTTGTCTGCGCAATGAAGAACACGCCAACCTGTAATATCCAGCACTGATGTGATGGTCAAAGGAAATCTAACAAAATCAGAATCTTCTTGCTCAGCGCGTACCGCTAAAATATCTTGCACTAAACGTTTCGCTTCATTTGACTCAGAATTAGAATTCAAACTATTTATATCTCTCTCTTCTTTACTCTGAATATCAGATTCGGAGTGTGACATATTCGTGCCAGTAACCAAAGAACGACGTCTGCGGCGAGTATTTTGCACACCACGTCGTGAAGAGTCATCAGGATTGGCAGACTTGTGTTGTGGTTTTGTGCAAATTTCAGAAAGACTAAAAAATATGAGAAAGACAAGTTTATAATTCAAAAGATATGGAGGCAGAAAAAATTATTCATAAACAATTTTTTTAAAGATTCAATATGCGTGGCTTGGAAATGATACTTAGTCTCGTACTACCAATATTAAAGAAAGCCTCCCGCTAACTCATGAAATCCTGAAACGCTTGGGAGAACACAAAGAGTGGATGCACCTGCGCTATTTTAAACCATTTTGAGTTACGTCATTCAAGGTCTCTAACCATCGGTTGCTATCGTCTCGCGGATCCCAACCAGGTAGTCTACACCTACCAATATGACTCAACTCACTTATCAGTGACTTCATGAATTTGTGCCTTGTTCTGCTCTGGTCGCCCCTATATTTCTTCCAACCTACTCCTACACCATAAAACCTCGCACATCATGGCAGTCGGTGGTTGGGTATACGTGACACATGTCTCAACCATCTCAACTGATGAAGCTTTACTACTCCATCAATTGATTTGCCATTCTTACCTAGTACCTGTTTCCTAACAACTGCATTACTTACTCGGTGGTCCCAGGATATACGAGCAATGCTTCGAAGACACATACGAGTTAAGATATAAAAATATTATAATTACTAGTTGATAGAATTTTATGGCTCCTGAAGCTTTGAGGAGTGAAAGAAAATTAAAATTTATGATTTAAATATAACATTTAAACCTTCATACAATTATCAAACGAATTTGAAAATCCATAATGTCTATAACGACATACATTTTTGGTGTACAATCTATGGGAGGAACTCAGATAAAAAAAATAACAGTATAATCAAAACATGAAAATATAGGATATTAAGCAACTAAAACTCACCTGAGAAAGTGAGAGGTCTTCGAACGACAAGGAACACTCAACCTACTATTTGAAAATCCGCACTTTGGATTGATTAACGGCCTTGGAGGTCTTCCATTAAGTATCCATTCACGACCATCAACAGGGTCTACAGTCCATAATATACCAGCTTTTGATAGTTTATTGCTATTGTGAAGATCACTTTTAATGGTAATCTCATCAACTTTTTGACATTCATTTGGTTCCTGTTCACCTTTAATTTTCTTACGTGGTATATTGTGAAAAGGTACAGCCAATTGTTTTTCGTTTAAAATTTTATTATCACAATCAGTGAAGTCATTGTTAAGGTCAGAATTATCTCTGCTGGTAGTAGGATAAAAGTAATTGTGTTTTTCATTTGAATTCAAGTAGTTCCCAGCATTAATCTGTTTTGAATCATCTATGTTATTATATGACCATGAATTTGAAAGAGATAATTCAGAATGTGTTGAAATTGAATCAGATTTCTTCAGATCTGTATTACTCATATGGCTAACATCAGTCGTTGATTCATTTTGAGATTGTTTCAAGGATGAAACTAGATGATGTAAAAGAGGATTCGATTCAGAGGCACATCGGAGTGGTTTACTAGCCGGATTAATGTACTTTGAATCTTCGGAAACTGACTTAGGAACCTAGAAAAGACATTTCACAAATTTAGTAGGTTCATTTCACACAAGTTTTACAAAAATACACCGTTGTATATCATTCTATTTTATCAGGTATTTCAGTCCCTGTAAACCTTACTGTACCCTTGCA